AACATATATAATCTATCTCTGTAGATAAACGGGTGTTTTTATTTGCTGAGTTTCTCTAAGGTCTCCCGAGTATGATTTATTTGTTACTATTTATAGCTGACAAATCTGTTGAATTTAAGGTCAAGGCCCAATAATTTATCACTCTTTTACTATAAGTTGTCCCTCTACATTCTTCCCACCTACAGTTTTACTTCTTTTTTAGTAATCTCAAACATCTACTTAATAACATCGTCACAGTTTTACTTTCCTTCTTGTAATATCATTAACATCTACTTAAAGCCAGCAACAAAACATTTATTTTACTATATGGTTCGTATGTATGCCCCAATAAACAATCTCACTAAGTTTTAAAAACTGATACTTACAACTTTTTTCCTGTATTGCATTTAAAAGCTTTAACAATTGAAATATGATTGAAAAGATCTCTCTGCAAAACGCGTACAAAATTTACGACTCATAATTTAGAAATTTAATACGAGTTCTAAAACCCAAATAAAATTAAATGAAATGGGGATATCATCCCAGTTTTGTGCACCAACTGAGATAATGAAGATGGGCATACAGCATACCATGTGCTCTGATTGGAAATATTACAAAGGACAGTGGCATTACTGCCTACTCTTCTTCGATTGACTTTAAATTCTAAACGTAACCTGTATTCTGGCATGTTCGTGGATTACTAACATCCTCACATTTTGTGTAGAATTACAGTAAAAGCTGCTGATAGTCTCATTTGTATTTTTCAGACAGTATCTAATTTTACACTGCTTAATCCACATTAAAATATACTCAAATTGATTATCTGGCATTTAATTAAGAAATCTAAGCCAAAATATCAATGGTAGATAACCTCCCGGCTTGGATTCAAATGGATTAAAAAGAGACCCATCAAACGATTTAACTTTATAGATGTTGTGCATGTTCGATCCCTGCATTGGCCGAGAAAGTTTATCAGGATTTTCCGACATGGTTTCGCCTTGTCAGTAGTGCAGGAAGGAGGGTCTGACAGCTGTCTAGTCGTTCTGATGGGATGGAAAACCAAGGCCCCATGTATACATTGGTTTGCAGGTAAAAGATCCCTTGGCAATTGTAATTCGATATAAGAGTAGGCCATGGTGCCACTGCCTGAGCAAACTTTCCCTCATAACACACTGTATGCCGTATGGCCGTCTTCATTAGCCCAGTCAGAGCAGAACAGTTGGACGTTTAACCCCATTTCATTTCATTTCTAGATGGTGTTGGCTTGTTTGTATATTCACAGAGAATGACGATTGATGTAAAATACAGAACCAGAACCGAATTAAACTAGTTTTTGGACTGATAATTGTTTTAGAGATTACTTTCATAATTTTGTAGGGGATTCAAAATCCTCTCAAATTATGATCAGTGTCTTTAATACATTGAAGCAAAATTATATGCACTATACAGTCAGTGTTTATATTCTAAAGCCTTTAAAAGTAATATAAGTATTGCCTACACATTGGTTGCTATAAGAAGTAATTAAATTAGTTTTATAAATAAATAAGTAGAGAAGTCAGTGGTATTCTGAGTTCACCCCTGTATGTGAGCTGCAGTTTGCCTGATCTGTCTGAACAGCCATGTAACTCTATCAAAGGTTATTTTTAGCAGCCATCTAGTTGACTGTTACTAAATTAGTCCTGAGTGTGAAGTTGTGAACCTATCATGACCAGATCTCTACACTCAATCTAACTGACTTGTTCAAGAGCTAGAAAACAGCACATCAATCGATTTAATCTTTATACATAATATCAGCCTGCACATACTAGATCATTTATATCAAAACAATACTAGTGCACTGTCTGAACGCAATCATACATGCTAAAAAAAACAATCTTGAATAACTTAATGCACACAAGACACAACTGTCTAAATTTACGAGGCATATTTGGAAATAGATTTGCAAGTTATGGCTGGCTGCAATCAAAATTCTGTATGAAATAAAAAGACATTTATGTCTGAATGAAAATTAATATGGATAATAATATTTCTATGTTAGATGACTTGGGAAGTTACACAGTTAACTGGGTCAAACATACATATACATTACATACAGATAAATAATTAGCTTCTTGAGAGAGATATATGTATATATATATATACATATATGAGCTTACATAAGTTTTATACTTCTCTGTTAAAGGAGCCATCCAGGATATATTTTAGTGAATAAAATGTGTTAATATGGGGTGAAGGACTCTTGCAAACCATTATTCTATTTCCTTTTAAATATCTTTCAATTTCCCCGTTACTGTCAGTCTTTCTAAAAGTCTTAAAATTTCAAGTACCTATGATACCTAAGTTTGCATAAGTGAAGGTTTAGTGTTGCCGTAAGTATCATAACAATTATAAGTCACTCATACAATGGAAGACTGAAATTTCCTAAATGAATGACAGTCTCTGGTTCATGCATAAGATCTATTCAGATTTGTACCACTCATTATAGGATGTCAACTTTATCATAAAACAAATTATATACCGATTGGAAATCCAACATAACATTCTGTCCAAAATGGAACAATTAAAACTACCACATTGTGTCGACAGCACCCCCCACCCACCCCTTTAAATGTGTAAAATGTCTTCTTTAATAGAGTTGTATCATGTTAACAAGATGGCAGAAAAGTGACCAAGCATAACATATTTATGACAGTAAATGATCTACTTGGGTTACATTAAGTTTTCTTACTGTAAAAAGTGAATATTTCTCCCAATATTAATAATGCCAGTCATTATATACATGTCCTTGTAGATCTTAATGAAGATAATTATACAATAGGCCTATAGCTATACATGTATCTTACTTGTATCTTTGATTTAAGATTAAAATGAGTCTATAGGCTTCCTGCACATGACATCCTACGCATAAATAACCGTTGACAATCAAATTAACACAAAGTTTTTGAAAAACAAAGAAATCAAAATAGTGTGTTTGAAACCAGTTGTCATGGCCCCAAAAACTTTTTTTTTAAAGGGCCATGTTACAATAATAGAGCTGATAATTTCATACAGTATACACTCGACACTAGCCTATAGAGTCATCTGGGTTGACACTTATTGTATCACAATTTGCCTTTCCTCTATATAGTTCATCGAATTGTGAATTGCGATACTTGACACTACTATTTTATTGTGAATCACTAAAAAATGTGACTGATTTCTGGTATAAAATGATTCAAAGTTCAAGAAAAAACTATTTCACGACACATGACATCTCAACAGAATATTTGAGTCTCATGTATTGTGATATGTATTATATCGAGTCTCATGTATTGTGATACATATCATATTGTGTCTCATTTATTTTGATCCATATTTTATCAAGTACATGTATTGCGATATGTATGTATCAATGAAATGAAATGGGGTTTAACGTCCTTCTGTTCTGCTCCTAAACTGGGCTAATGAAGACGGATGTATGTATCAAGTCTTATGTACTGTGATACATATCATATCAAGTCTTGTGTATTGTGATATGTATTGTATCACGTCTTGTGTATTGTGATACATATTGCATCAAGTCTCATGCATTATGATACACATCATATCTAGTCTCATGTATAGGATACATATATCATATTAAAACTATAGTAGCAACACCCAGCACTAGTGCAGTCATCAAAATTCTATATATGTATGTACCAGTCGGACCCGCACCAGTCACCAGATATACTATATTTAAAATGGTTATAGTGTTCATGTTTGACACCATGCCTAAAAAATCTCTAATTTTCACCAAGATTCTCCTGAAAGCTATCTACAAAATCCCTTAATCCAAAGTTGTTTTTAAGGATTTGGGGTAAGCTTGTTTTTGAAATAACTGGCATCCTGTCAATATTTACAGAATAAGCTGATTGGCACAAGTTATGTCTACAATAGGTGAGTGATATTTTATAGGAATTTTAAAAACTTTACCTAGAATTAAGAAGCAGTTGGTGAGAATCTTCAATTCAATCAGATTTGCAGATTTATACAAAATGTTGGGTCACAACAATTTTTTATATTTTTCATGCGTTAATTGGTAGACCCCATTGCATTTTTAAGATGCATTTTTAGAAAGGTACCCCCACACTTCCTGTTTCCCCAAACCAATCACTGTAATTTACATATCAGCACCCCCACCCCAATTTCCCCAAACCAACTGGAATGATAACTCTATGACTTTAGAAGTGTGAGTTTGTTGCATGTAGGTGGAGGATGTTACATTGTACATGTTGAACACCAAGCCAGACAGACTAATAATTGTAGACAAGATTAATACATATGTTTTTAAAAAGAACTTCACAATTGGCCATATGCCCGTCAGGAGTACAACATATGGATTCAAAAATATTAAAACATAAAACAAAGAGCTAAAACAACCACGTTCTTCTCATTAATTACATTTTGAAATATTAAACCCAAAATTGTCTCTACAGATACAGCAATTCAGATCCAATCTGTTCCACTTATTAATGAAGACTTGTTTCGATTTTTTGATTTTTATTAGAACAATAAATGGAATGGTATCCAGTCTGGAATATGAACCACAACACCAACTCAGTAGTGTAAAATATGGAAAGCGGGCCTGGCCCAGTTTTTTTCTGTACATATGTGTATGCTTAGTAATTACTAATAATTAGCAGAACATATTAACCGGCAACAAAGTTCTCAACATACATGTAACCTATAGGTTATTTCTTCACATTTTGCCATTTGATTTGCATATTCCAAAAAACTTTTCTTCAGAGAAAGCTGGGACTTTTTCTTTAAAAATCTGAATGCATCATCATTGTACTTATATAATTAATCAACATTGCAGTTGACTCAACTATACTCTAAAAACACAAATGGCAGCCAGCTAATTTTTCAGACAAACATGACTCACATTTTACATTGAGTATAATTAATGAGTGGATGCGTGAAGACATGCACACAAATATTCTTTACTTTCTCTTGCCTATGTAACTAATATACTAAACAATAAACAGTATTATACTTACTACTGTGCACAGTCAATAAGTTGATATTCATTAGATCTTTCAAAACAACCTTGTACTCCTTTATCTTTCCACAATATTTCTGTATGTTCATAGAATTCCTGCAAAAACAAAACACAAAAAAAAAACCATGTAAGAAGCATGAATTTGGAAAGGATACATCTTGCAAAGGTGTGGGAGTGTTTAACATTCACTGACCAGGTCATTTCAGGACTATGTAACTTTGTATATTTTAACTTCAATAATTCACTTGTAAATAGGGGGTCTTTAAACTGGAGAACTGGAGAAAGCCCATGGAATTAAGACATAGAATCACACATACACCTGGGATAAAAACCATGACTTGCATAGATTACAGGTCTTATAATAAACAGCACACAATATAAACTACATTGCCACCCAAAACACACACTAAAGAAAGAATAGGACACAAACACAACCTCAAAATACCATGTTCATTACAAGCTTATGGCGACTGTGGTGGTCTTGGAGGGGTTGCAAAATGGCTATATTTATCATATTATAATACATTACATGATCATAAAAATATACAACATATCTGAATAAAAACTATAAAATCAATAAAGTTTTGTATTTCAACATCAAATATTTCCTTATATATTGAATTCAAAACAATGCGACAAAGGTTACTACCACTAATTGAAGTATTTCTATTTTATGCACTATATTATAACTCTATGCATTTGCTTGAATGAAGAGCTGATTTACAAAACACTACAAGTACCATTCAGAACATCCTTGTTTCAAATTATTCTTTTATTCCTTGCACCTATCCCAGATAAATGAAACAGCTTTTATTTGACAAAGTTCTAATAAAATATTGCTTTAAATACATTGAAAATTCTATACAAATTAGAAATTAATCATTCTACCTTCATTCAGGGTTAGTGCTAAATGATAAGGCCAGCTCAATTTTTCATTATAGGTCGGGAGATGTAAACAAGGGCTCGCACTAATCTCAACCCTAACCCTAACCCTGGACCTAGTCCCAATGCTTACCCTAACCCTAACCTACAATCTTGCCAATAATCATGTGCCCTAACCTTATTTACATCTCAACGACCTTTTACAACAAGAGCATCGCTAACGCAGCAATATACGTCCACATTCCTGTTTTGTTTGATATGGTCCAGTTTGCATTGAGGGTCTGTGAAATAAAACTGGGTTGTAGGACTGCTATCAGTTTAACACTTCGTTCACATTAACAGAACACAATTTTTATTTTAAAACAATCGATGTCTTTATTCCAAAAAAATGACGTTTCGAATAGGTATGCAAAGTTTCAAAAGAATCTGTTAAGAATTGCGGTCTGTAGGCAAAACACAAGACACACAAACATTAGGTGTGGCTCTGTCCCAAGGGGTCGAGCATGCACCAAAAATAATAATAGAGGTCGGCCTTAGGATTAAGGAATAAGTATAAAAAGTAGCCTTAGGCTATAAGGAATAAGTATAAAAAAGTTTTCAAGATGATCGATTAAGAAATGCGGTCTGCAAGTGACACACAGACATAAAAAAAGAAAATGGGCGTAGCTCTGCCCCTGGGGGTTGGGTATTCACCACAAATAATAGGGATGTTCCTTAGGATAGAAGGAATATGTATGCTAGGTTTCAAGGTGATACGATAAGAAATGCGATCTGTAAATATAAGGGATGGGCGTGGCTCTGCCCCTGGCGGTCGGGCATGCACCAAAAACAATAGGGATCATCGTTAGGGTATAAGCAATTCATATGAAATTTTTTCAAGACGATTGATTAAGAATTGTGGCCTGTAGGTGACACACAGACATAAAAAGAAAAGGAAATGGGCGTGGCTCTGCCCCTGGAGGTAAAAAAACAATAGGGATCATCGTTAGGGTATAAGCAATTCATATGAAAAAATTTAAAGACGATTGATTAAGAATTGTGGCCTGTAGGCGACACACAGACATAAAAAAGAAAATGGGCGTGGCTTTGCCCCTGGGGGTTGGGCATGCACCCAAAACGATAGGGATGTTCCTTAGGGTACAAAGAATAAGTATGCAAAGTTTCAAGATGATACGTTAAGAAATGTGGCCTGTAGACGACAAACAAACAAATACAAAAAATGGGGGTGGCTCTGCCCCGGGGAGGCGAGCATGCACTAAAAACAATAGGGATCATCCTTAGGGTATAAGGAATAAGTATGTAAAGTTGATACGTTAAGAAATGCTGTCTGTAGATGACAAACAAATAAATAAATATAAGGAATGGGCGTGGTTCTGCCCCTGGGGGTCGGGCATGCACCAAAAACAATAGGGATCATACTTAGGGTATAAGCAATTCATATGAAAATTTTTCAAGACGATTGAATAAGAATTGTGGCCTATAGGCGACACACAGACATAAAAAGAAAAGAAAAAGTTCGTGGCTCTGCCCCTGGGGTCGGGCATGCACCCCAAACGATAGGGATGTTCCTTGGGGTACAAAGAATAAGTATGCATAGTTTCAAGATGATACGTTAAGAAATGCGGTCTGTAGATGACTAACAAATAAATAAATATAAGGAATGGGCGTGGCTCTGCCCCTGGGGGTCGGGCATGCACCAAAAACAATAGGGGTCATACTTAGGGTATAAGGAATAAGTATACCAAGTTTGAAGAAAATCCAGTAAGAATTGCGCCCTGTAGGCGACACAAAGACACACGAAAAGAAAATGGGAAATGGGCGTGGCTCTGCCCCTGGGGGTTGGGCATGTACCCCAAACGATAGGGATGTTCCTTAGGGTACAAAGAATGTGTATGCAAGATTATAAGTTAAGAAATGTGGCCTGTAGACGACAAACAAACAAATACTAGAAATGGGCGTGGCTCTGCCCCTGGGGGTCGGGCATGCACCAAAAACAATAGGGATCTTCCTTGGGGTATAAGGAATAAGTATACCAAGTTTGAAGAAAATCCAGTAAGAATTGCGCCCTGTAGGCGACACAAAGACACACGAAAAGAAAATGGGCGTGGCTCTGCCCCTGGGGGTTGGGCATGCACCCCAAACGATAGGGATGTTCCTTAGGGTACAAAGAATGTGTATGCAAAGTTTCAAGATTATTAGTTAAGAAATGTGGCCTGTAGACGACAAACAAACAAATACTAGAAATGGGCGTGGCTCTGCCCCGGGGGGTCGGGCATGCACCAAAAACAATAGGGATCTTCCTTGGGGTATAAGGAATAAGTATACCAAGTTTGAAGAAAATCCATGAAGAATTGCGCCCTGTAGGCGAACCACAGACACACACACACACACACACACACACACACACACATACATACATACACACACACACACACACAGACAGGGGCGACGGCATAATACGTTCACATTATGAATGTGGACGTATAAAAATTGAGGTGGCCTTAACAAATAGAGTTTGCCATCATTCAGCAAATTTGGTGACCTCTGAACTGCCATGCACATCATCTCATAAATTAATATGGCATGCAGCTGACAGTATGCCATTGACCTATATATTGATTTTGTTGCTATAAATGGCATTGAGTTGAGTTGTCAAGGTAGCCTATAGTACAATCAATATAATGGTAAAATGTGCTTGTGGGGTCTAGACCTTAATATATATATTTTAAGGTCTAAACCTCGCAAGAACATATATATATGTACAAACTGCACTTGTCAGCAGTTCAAAATACAAATTTTAGTTTTACAATTTGCAATTTCCATTGCTCCACAATACCATTGTCACAGTGTTAAAATACAGAATACACTTTTCAGTAATACAAATACAGTTAATAGTTATTTTGCACATTACACTTCTCCATTCTTCATTTTACATAATAAGACAAATGCATAACAGAACTTAGCATATTAGAACATATACCTTATATGGGATCTACAACGAAGCTCATTTGCATATGGAAAAAAGTCCGGACTAGGATGGATATTAATTATTTCCATATGCAAATGAGTTTTGTCGTAGATCCGATATAAGGTATATGTGCTAATATGCTAAGTTCTATTATGCATTTGTCTATTATGCAAAATGGAGAAAAAGAAGTTTAATGTGCAAAATAACTATTATACAGTATTTAGTATTATTTAAAAGTGTATTCTGTATTTTAACACTGTGACATTGGTATTGTGGAGCAATGGAAGTGGCAAATTGTAAAACTAAAATATGTATCTTGAACTGCTGATATGTATCTTGAACTGCTGACACGTATTTTGCACCGTGAACTTTGAAATAATATTGGCAACGTTATCCTTCCATATATAACATTATAAATACCAGTATAATTATTAGTTGATTAGTTACCATAGTAAAAATAGCAACTTCAATATTATCAAACATTAATTAACTAGAATCTGACAGCATCATACTAGTTCATAGTAGAATTATTTTGCTTTCCTAATTAGGGTTTCACACGTTTACTCAATTACTTTTTGATTCTTGCATACTTTTTAAAATATTAAGGAAATTTCACTCAAGAGATCACTCATCACTGACAAACATTTCAGTGCATTGTTACAAAAATATATATAAATATTCAAATTGTTGAGATGAGTAAAAGACAACATGATATAAGAGAAAATAAAATAAAGATATAAAATCAACTTACAGGAGGATATTCAAAGTCGGATTGACTGGCTACATCTTGAATATAATCCACTCTAAATTGGTTTTCAGTATTTTCTAAGGTAGCAGGTGGGTTTAATGTGCTCATAGCACCTGTTATTGTCTGCAATAAATAAACAAATAAATTACTGAAATACTACTATTATATTAATTCACTAATTTTACATGTTAAGAAGCTGTGTCATACCTTATGTTAAGAAGCTGTGTCATGTCATATATAATTTAATGTTATTATAGAAGGTTGTAATTGCAGGCCATAAATAGTAGTTTTCATTTGTTTATATTAAGAAAATAATTGAAACAATTAGTTTGTGTAAAGAAGAAGACATCTTGGAGTTTTACCTCATTTACAAATATCTTTTTAGCAATTAATGTTTGTTTAATGGCAAACGAATTATGATTATTTCATGTTTACCCGTTTACGCAAGTCATCGTATTTTCAAATAGCGATTTAAAGACTACGATCTCTCGACAATTACTTAATTTAAACATCTCAATTTTCACAAATTACAATTTAAGGGATTGAATGGAATAAAACAGATTGTAACCAAATGAAATTGATTTCCTATTAAAAGATAAGATTGCCAGGCAATGAAAAATACACCCACAGCAGCTAAATTGTCCAAGCAGTCGACAAGGGTTGTCGAATATTTATTCTTTTGGAGGTATTTTGATTTTGTTTTTGTTTTTGTTTTCTTATTAAATCTTAAATAATAAATCTGTGTAACGTAAATATTAGCGTTGATTAAGCTTTGAGAAATTTGATATTTTCCGTAAAAATGCAAGTCATGCATCACTACTTTAAGGATAATACAATGAAACAAAAATCTTTTTGACATGGGGATGGTTATCCTTTTGCATCCCATACATATCCAATTATGTTCATGTACTGTTACTGCACAGTATTAATTTTAGATATAATTTTTGTTCACTCTGCCATACAAAGCTCATTAAATAAATTTGTCCAAGATCTCTACCTGGTCATATCATGCTTCTTCCTGAGAATTGTCTTGATGATTTCAAAGGCCTTATATATACAAACAGCCCTCCTTGAATGTTGCCTGATTATTTTTTTCTTTAATCATTATATTTCTCGGCTTTTCTTCCTGACAAATCAGGTACTACATGCATTTGTATGTGGTTGTGTTATAACACAGTGTGCACACAATGAGACTACATGTATATAATTGATTGGAATATTGATTCACAAAGATCTATGAAACCTAGAACTACTGAAATATTAGCACATCTTATAACAGGGGTTTTCATATCTAGCAAATGAGGAAGTTTCAACTCTTTTTTCTAGAATCATAACATTCACAATGCAAAATACCTTACATGTCAATTGTTACAAGTGCATGTATAAATGTACATGTACCATATTGTGTTTTTTGAAGGTAAAGCTGGATGCAAGTTTTCATAAATATCAACAGTAGCCAATTTTGACATTAATAATCTCTATCTGTTAGGGATTTTGATTCCAACTTCAAACATAAAAATTCAATTTTTCCAAATCTTAAAAGTATTTAGCCTAGTCAATTATCTGCTGTAATTCACCAAGGTTGGAGACTGGTTTGTCCTGCAGTCATGCTGATTAAATCAAGTGTATTTTTAAATATCAGGTGAATCACAATTAACAATTAATAATGTACACTTTATATAATCAATAATGTTATTAATACACTAGTCAGACCAACATATAAAAAGTGTAACTTTTTAGTATAATTCCTTATTCTAATATCTAAATTATAGGAAGAATATTAAAGCAGATGATTGTTGTTTCCATTTCCAAATGTACTCTATTTGATTATTCAATATTTAAATAAGACAATGATATTAAAATATTAAAAGTATATAATCTCATGGCTTGGATTTAATCTGATTAAAAAGGCTAATCAAAAGGTTTTAGTGAAGATTATACAGTAAGTGGCCCTGGTGTGTTTTGACCATATCCTGTTTATGTGGCCTGCAGAGGATGCCGAATGTTCACAATACATCACATCTTTTTAAACACAGATTCAACTTCCATAATATTGAGGACGCGATCTACTTCAAAATATCCCAGATCTTTCTACAACGGGGTGTCCCGGTGGCTAAATGGTAAGACGCTGGCTAGCTAGCATGGAGGTTGGGTGTTCGATCCCTGCATTGGCTGAGAAAGTTCATCCAGATTTTCCGGAGTGGCTCCCCCTTGTCAGTGATGCAGGACGGAGGGCCTTACAAGGACAGCTGTCTAGTCATTTGGATGGGACGAAAAACCAAAGTCCCATGTACACATTTGCGTGCATGTAAAAGATCCCTTTACAGTTGGAATTCGATATAAGAGTAGGCCGTAGTGCCACTGTCCGGGCAAAATTTCCCTCATAGTACACTGTATGGTGTATGCCCATCTTCATTAGCCCAGATCGGAGCAGAACAGTAGGATGTTAAACCCCATTTCATTTCATTTCATTCTACAACATGGATGTTGATAGTTTTTTTAAATCGGATAAGAATTGTGACCTCTAGAGGGGCCACAAGCTAAAAACACAATTTTTCGTACAATAAGGGACCATAATTCAGGAAGTTACGATCCAATATGCGCAAATATCAAACGGAACCAAGATCTTTGGGTTATAAACTTGCATTTCAAGTTTCATCAAAATCGGATGAAAATTGTGACCTCTGGAGTGTCCACAAGCTAGAAACGTGATTTTTCAAACAATCAGGGGCCATAATCCATGAAGTTAAGGTCTGATATGTGCCAATATCGAAAGAAACCGAGATCTTTGGAAGATAGACCTATATTTTAAGTTTGGCCAAAATCTAATAAATATGATGACCTGTAGAGAGTTGTCCACAAACAAATTGCAGATGTCCACAAGCTAGAAAAGTGATTTTTCGTACAATCAGGGGCCATAATCCATGAAGTTATGGTCTGATATGTGCCAATATTGAAAGAAACTGAGATCTTTGGAAGATAGACCTATATTTTAAGTTTCGCCAAAATCGAATAAAAAAGATGATCTCTAGAGAGTGTCCACAAACAAATTGCGGATGGACGGACGGATGGACAGGGGCAACGACTATATATGTCCACATGAAAATGTGGGCGTATACAAAGTGAGCTCAATCTTTATGTCCTCTGCAAGAATGTTAACCATCTGAATAGCCATCAAAGAGTCTCAAGATGTAGTCACACACTTCGGACTATATTCAACAAAGCAACATTTAGCTAACCTGACACCCTGACACGAATAATTTAAAGTCCCATGCAATTTCTATTACCTACATTTTTTTTTAATTCAGCTAAACCATTATCGATATTACATGCTATCTGTCTAAAGGGTTAACATTGATGACATGTTATTATCAGTCTACCAATGTTGAGGTAGCTCTGAATTGAAAGGGTTAACACTGATGACATGTTTGTTGTAAACAGCTTTATAGGGTGATATATAGGCTACTTTCATCATATTTATTATGATGACATCACACTGCGTAAAATACAAATAGTTTAAAATGACACTGGTGTACTGGAATAATGTGGGAGTTGATATTATCTGAAAACAGTTATGAGAAAACTACCGCCATCAAAAATTCTTTAGAGAAGCAATGTTATCCACAATATTGTAAATTGAATGGGGTTAAATACAAGTGGTTGCCATGCAAGATACGCCAACATTTTGCAAGAGATGGACAGAGAACAAGCTCAAAAAAAGAAGTGATTTTTCGTTCAATCAAGGGCCATAATTCAGGAAGTTACGATCCGATATGCATGAATATTGAAAGGAACCAAGATCTTTGGGCTATAAACATGCATTGCAAGTTTCATCAAAATCGGCACAAAATTGTGACCTCCAGAGGGTCCACAACCTTAATATACCAGATGTTTACACTATTTGAGTACAAGGGGCGGCCATGTTGTCTGGCAGTTTTGGTCCGATTTTCACGAAATTCGAACTCAACCTTCATTACGGTGTAACGGTGATATATTCAAACAGTGTTTCAAATCAGATAATAATTGAGACCTCTAGAGCGACCCCAAGCCCAAAAATGCCATTTTTCGTACAATCAGGGGCCATAATTCAGGAAGTTACAATCCAAAATGCATGAATATTGAAAGGAACCAAGATCTTTGGGTTATAAACATGGATTTTAAGTTTCATCAAAATCGGATTAAAATTGTGACCTCTACAGGGTCCACAACATAGATATACCATATTTTTACACTATTTGGATACGAGCCGTGGCCATTTTGTCTGTCAGTTTTGGTTCGATATTCACGAAATTTGAACTCACCCGTCCTTAGGGTGTAATGGTGATATAATAATACGTTTTTCCAAATCAGATAAAAATTATGACCTCTGTAGGGTCCACAAGTTAAAAACGCGATTTTTCGTACGATCGGGGGCCATAATTCAGGAAGTTACGGTCCGATATGCACGAATATCGAAAGGAACCACAATCTTTGGGTTATAACCTTACATTTCAAGTTTTAACAAAATCGGATAAAAAAGGTCCACAACCTTGATATATCATATTTTAACGCTATTTGAGAACGAGGGGCGGCCATTTTCTTTGTCAGTTTTGGGCCGATTTCATGAAATTCGAACTCAGCCGTCCTTAGGGTGTAACGGTGATATAATAATACGTTTTTTTAAATCGGATAAAAATAATGACCTCTATAGGGTCCACAAGCTAAAAACGCAATTTTTCGTACAATCAGGGGCGCAAATGCAGGAAGTTACGGTCCGATATGCGCTGATATCGAAAGGACCTGAGATCTTTTGGTTATAAACTTACATTTCAAGTTTCAACAAAATCAGATAAAAATTGTGACCTCTAAAGTGTTCACAAGCTAAAAACTTGATTTTTCGTACAATCAAGGGCCATAATCCATGAAATTACAGTCCGATACTTGCCAATATCGAACGGAACCGAGATCTTAGGATGATAAACATATATTTAAAGTTTCGTTGAAATCGGATAAAAATTGTGCCCTCTAGAGTGTTCACAAATAATTGTGGACGTACGGATGGACGGACAGGGGCGACGACAATATAAGTCCACATGAAAATGTGGGCATATAAAAACATTCGCTTTTTAAGACTATCAGACAAC